TTTAAAATCACATATTTATATGGGTTCACATGAAATATTTAGCAGCCTAAGCAACACGGCTGACAGGCTTAGTATAAAACATTAAGGTAAAAATATTTTAGAAAAAAAAATAAGGTCACCAAAGAAGGTATTTCAAAATATGGTGCTTTGCTTTGCCTCTGGTTTCCAGCCAGAATTTTCTTGATCCATCCTGAAAAGCAGGTTCTTCCTATGGAAATACTGCAAGTACGACTTACTCCATATTAATTACTTTTTGGAGTTAAAATAATCAGATTTTATTATTAAAAGGTTATTAAGGATATGCTAAAGTATCAAAAATTATTCTGATATAGGCATTTCCTAAAGAAATAAAAATGTTACAGTATTTAAAACTCACTTAGCAACATATGATTTTGCCGTTTAGTTATCCCCAAAAGCTTTCTTTTATCTCAACTGCTCGCATCTTCCTTAACATTAGTTTAGGTTTCCAGTGACATTTTCTAGTTTCTGGTTACAGTTCAACTGCTGCTTTAATAAACTCTGCCATACTCACTCAGATTATATTGCTCATCGCCCATTTTGGCATTAGGACATCAGTTTACTTAATAGTCTAGATTTCTGGAAATATATTAGAAAATGAGTAGAAACGCAGTGGTGAAAAAGATACTAAAAGTCTACAGTTGGCATAGCAATCTTAAGGTATATGTAAGTATATGTAATACAAATACACATGTACATGTAGAGAGAGTGGGTACAGTAAGTAATATTCTTTGGAATGATAAAATAATCCTGTGGCGCATGAGGGTATCCCTAATCAGGTGTGTACTTGCATTATAGTTCTGTTCCTGAAGTGTCTCTTCTGCTAACTATACATACAGATCATGCTTATTTAATGATTTGCTGGCATTTTCTCCTTTAAACGTATACGGTATTCCTGGGAAAGTCTAAGAGAGCTGCACAAAGCATAAGCTGATATTTGTTCTTGCCATTTGTAGAAAAGGAACCCAAGCAGGGAACTAACTTCTGCTCATTTTAAATTTTATCTGTTGTACATTTAAAGTGTAGCTTTTGTAGTGTATAATATTAGCATATAGTTTCGTATATACTGAGTAATAGTCTATTATGCTTAGCATTATGTTAGTATTATATTTAGTATCAGTATACCGTTTTCTTTCTTACAGGGTGAATCTTGCACTACATATATATGTCCTGTCTAATTTATCTTTATGAAAAATACATTAAAAATATATCTGTTCTTAAAATCTTCTCTTATACCAGAAAGTATACTTAGGTAAAACACCATTGAACAGAGTTTGTTCCATTGCTTGCAAAACACCTTTTTATCTATTGCAAATCTTTGTTACCAACATGGCTCTAGATGCTAAGTAGTGTATCACAGTTTTGGATAGAGGTGTGTGCAAGCTATACAGTGTATTATGAATGGAAAGAAATAGAGATCTTCTTTTCCCCTGATTGCATTGTGATACACTATTCTTGTATAAAAACCATTTTCACAGGAAAAATTAATATATGGACAGTTCTGAATTGAATGGTCTTATTTCATTGCTGGCATTGTCTCAGACAAATAATTTCCCATTCTTAAAAGATCAGCAGTGCATTTTAAATAACATAAATCCAGCTGGATCATTTAAGAACTCTGCTTCTGTAGATCCTGTGTTTGACAGCTGAATGAAACTGCAAAAGCATCTTGGAAGCAACCTATTTTTTTTTGTGCCTTTGCCCCCAGGAATTATTTTATTGCTGATTAAAATGTTACATGGCACCATGATTAGGCCCAGCATTGTACATTAATTTGTCTGCAAGTGGGGCCCAGTTTTGTGTCTCTGCAGTTGCATTGAGGGAAATTAAATGAAAGAACAGAGTTGTGCACTGCACGTGTTGTTTGCTAATGCGACAACAGCAGCTGTTGCAAAGTGAATTTTTCAGCCCTTCCTTTCCCTGAGAGCCTGGGAACAAGATTGCTTTGTACATTTTTCAACCCATTAAATGTAACTTTTAATGTGAAATCTAAGAATATTCTCAGCAAAGACTTACAGATTTCTAAGCCGTTTCTATAATTGCAAATAGAAAATTCAGCAGAGCAATAACAAATCTAACTTCAGAGTTAAATAAGGTGAATAATTGAATCACAGACACACACAAACACGTTTTATACGTGAGCCCTTAAAACCTGCACTACTGGCATACTTTTGTGCACATGTTTCTGATACAGTCATTTTGTCACCTGTACGTAAGGAAGTGGTCTAGTTGGCAGTGAGAACGTGGGCTGCCTTTTGCTTTGGAATTGAGCTATCACAGAAGCTGGAAACTGTGCCCTGCCAGTGTGTAATCACAGCTGTAAATCTAAATAGGTCAGGTGAGTGTATTTGGAATAGTTTTTATTTGGTTAACCGGTACGGTTACAGGGTCATCATACAAGGATGGTTGGGTTTCCATCAGAGACAGATATAGCTGTGTAGTCCTCACATCATGGGAATGCTCATTCATGTAAGAGGGGCTTTAACGTTAGCTGAGGAACTGGCGCCCTTCCCAGAAGCAGCATACCTCTGATTTCATGGCACAATTGTTCGATTACTCTTCTCCATTACTGAGGTCCATTGAATTGGGCAAATCTTACTCATTCATCATGTGTTTGAATGAAGGAGGGCTGTTGTTCGGCTGGTCGTGCGGGTTGTAGTTACACTGCTGCTCAGCACGAGATGACCAGTGGATTAGACAAGGACTGGCGACTCTGGGCCTTCTCCAGAGGCTGGCTTTGTAAGAGTTCACAGGCTGTCAGCTCGTGGTAAAGAGTATCTAGGACTTCAAATAGGTGGGCTTTTCCTTTTAAAAGAAAATTGTAAACATTATAGTTTGAACAAAGACAGAAAGTTTCAGTTTAACAGTTGTAATGCAAGCTCTCTTCTTCATAGCTGCCATTTCAAGCAATTAACATAAAATGTCTATATTTTGAGACTAAATCAATTTTTGTCCCTATGAAAATAAGAGTGGAACTGGGTTCAAGGACTCTCTTGCATCATTCGCTGCCCATTCACTGAGTTCTTGCATACTTGCATGAAAAAAGACTATTTCATATCACAAGAAAGAGTTGCTAAGCCAACCAGCCACTTAGTCTTGTCAAAGAGGAAGATGTTTAATTACAAAGACTTAGGGAAGCTGTTTAAGTCATATCAAGCACACAGCCAGAAAACGGATGGCAGAGAAGAGGGGCTGTTTATGGCAATGGTGATGCAGAATGGACAGAGCTGCACAAAGTTACTTCACTTCTTGGTGTCATTACAGAGGGAGGTACTTTGTTTCAGCAGCATCGCTTGGAGCCAGTGTTCCTGCGCAGGATAAGCAGCAATACCTCCTGAACACTTGTGTGCTATGGGTACTAACAGGCTACTCTTCTCTTGTGCTCACCAGGAGAATATCTGACCTATGGCTCAGATATGGTTCCTCTCTGTGTTGGTGTCCTGGAGCCAACAAGGGTCTGTATTTGCCCTCTCTCTGCTTCCTCTGCAGCCGTGCTGGAGCAGCACTGCGTAGCTCTGGGCTGCCTGCACCCTGAATTGCTGGACACTGGTAACAACAAGGCTTTGAAACCACAAAGCCCAGAATGGTTTGTTATTCTCCCTAAATCACTGTTATTAATATTCTACAAAACTAAACCCACAGGGCATATCTAGTCTTTTATAATCTTGTCTTTCACTACTGTCTGCCTATTGAAAGCCCTCCAAGCTGTGTTCTTAGAGTTGGTACAGGGTGTTTACTTCTTGAAGGCAAGTACAAATGCTCTGTTAATAGGAACAAAGTAATCAAATCTAAACCTCCGGACTGTGATCCCTGTATGGTTCCTACAAAGGCAGCTCTGGCATACAAGGTTGTTGTCAAGGGAGAGGAGTTTGCAAGTTTAATTTTCGCAAGAGGAGCACAAAAGGCCATTATTAGAGGAGGGCAGGTTTGAGCTGGTTTCATTACAGAAATATTTTGTTTTGTATATTTGTGTTGCAGCAGAGGAATACAACACAGTGGGACTGCAAACCTGATAAATAGATGCCTTACATACTTGGTCATATTTTCCACTTTGTCATATCAATGAAGCCATACAGACATTAGTGAGATACTGAATCGCTCCCCTAAGGACAAATTCTAATTAAAATTTGGCTAAAAAATGCCCTGGATGTGTTCCTGTTTCTGGTATGTCACAGACTAGAAACCATCACTTTCTATAGGTAATCTCCTTGCATAGTACTTCTTTCTCCCTAACCTGTCCCCCAGTTTTTGAAATATCTTTTCCTACTCATCTGTTCAAACACTAGATAGTGTTGTTCCCAAAAGGACACTTTTCATGCTTCTCCGTCTTTCTACGTGATTTATTTTCTTACCAGGTTGGGGGTCACGGCAGGATTCCAAAGTGCTCAGCAAGATTTTCCCCAAAGCTCGCTTAGATATGTTCTTTAAAAAACAAAATAATGTTATGGCACAAATATGTCCTTCAGCGGTTTAAATGTATGTATGCAACAAAATCTGTGTGCAGCGTATTTGCATTTGAAAAATTTAAACAAAATGAAACTGAATCCTGATAACACAAGATCGGATATTGGCTTTATTTTCAAGCATTTTATCTTAGGTACTGCTCAAATAATAGCAGTTTGTGGAGGGCTCCAATTCCTTAATATGGCTGTAGAAAGACAAATAGCAATTATTTAGTGGAAAAACCCAGAATTTTCCAGAGTATGTGCCTAAATACATGTTGATGGCAAGGAGTATAAGGAGGGCATGGACAACATGTTCTGGGAGGCACTGGGAAACACTTCAGGTATAAACAAATTAGGGCAGATTGTGTGTGTCATGTGGCAGGCCCACCGCTAGTCATATATTGAGACGTAATAAACATTAGCCAAAGTGAGAGGACTGTAACAATGACTCAGGATTTGGATAGTCTTTTTCAGAGGTAATTTTATATTAGAAATCTGTTGGGACATTTCATAATGTGTCTGGAAAAACCAACTCTCTTAATTTGCTGTCAAGACACTAATGCATGCTTTGTGGGAGATCGTCTCGCCGTCAGTTTAATTAGCACTTGGAGTGCCCGTATCTGCAGTCACAGGTTGTTCCTGTTAAAACTTCAAGAAGTGAAAATAGATGGAAGCTATTCTGGAGGAAAGACGATGTCCCTGATGGCAACCCAGGCAATGCTGACCTTGTGTACCCCTGTCAGTCATCTACCTTCTGCTGTCTGCCCCAGTGGGGACGGGGGAGTAGGAGAAAGCAGTGTGCAGTGAGCTGAGATTACACGTGATCCCTGCAACACACTGTGAGCTTTTTATAGTCATGGAATCATAGAATGGTTTAGGTTGGAAGGGACCTTAAAGCTCATCCAGTCCAACCCCTGCCATGGGCAGGGACACCTCCACCAGCCCAGGTTGCTCAAAGCCCCGTCCAACCTGGCCTTGGGCACTGCCAGGGAGGGGGCATCCACAGCTTCCCTGGGCAACCTGGGCCAGTGCTCACCACCCTCACAGGGAAGAATTTCCTCCTAATATCCAGTCTAAATCTCCCCTCTTCCAGTTTAAAACCATTCCCTTTGTTCTATCACTACCTGACCTTATCAAAAGTCCCTTCCCAGCTTTCCTGTAGGACCCCTTCAGGAACTGGAAGGCTGCAATAAGGTCTCCCAGAGCCTTCTCTTCTCTAGGCTGAACAGCCCCAACTCTCTCAGCCGGTCCTCACAGGGGAGGTGCTCCAGCCTCTAGGCTTCTTTTAGAAAGTCAGCTATAGAGGTCTAAAAGTTTTCTGCAATCCCCAGGCAAACATATAGAAATCACCCAAGGCAAGCATATAGAAAAAGGTTTCCTGGTATAAAGGACTTTGTGCTGACTAGAAGGTATGAACATCCTTTCTAATTTGGAATGGACACTATCAAAAACATTTTTAAGTCTCTGGACTGCTTTCTTGCCATACCAAGTCTCGAAGTTGTTGAAGAAGCTGTAAAACATCCATGAGCTTTTCTTCCACCAGTGACAGCCTAACTCTCTCAGTCTCCAACATCTGCAACTCCATCTTCAACAATTCGGTCTCCTCCACCTTTTGCTGCAGTTCACCTAGCAATGGGCCTTTCATCTGCACAATGACACAAGAAATTAAAAGCACTGAAGCTTTTCACTTTCCTGCCCAATAATTGCAAAGCTAAATTTTCCCCCCTATCTGGTAAATGTCAGCTCACTCCAGAAGATGATTTTGAAAGGAAGTAAATTTCTTTAATGTACTACATAAAGTGAAGAATCAATAGTTGCTACAAAATGCATGCTTTGCTCTTGCGCATAATGGCAGATCATTCAATGCTGGCTGCAAGCAGATCATTGAGAAATTTTAAGTACTGGCATTACTATTTCAGTTTTCTAATCTTTAGCATTCCTGTCATCCTCTGTAAAGCATAACTAATTTGTGTGCCCTCACCAATGTGGTCATATTTTTGTCTTGCAACTCCTACATATCAATCATCTATACTTTCAGTAAAACAAGAAGGCAATTAGATAACCAAAATACTTAGAAAAAATTAACAGAAAGAAAAAGTGTCTTAAAGGAAAAAAACCAACTGGTTCTGCAAAACACTGGCATGCTGTATTGGGTTTTCTGTGAGGGGTTTTGGTTTGTTTTTCAGTGGCAGGGGAGGGCTATGGAGATAGCCCTGTAAGAAGCTACTAGAAAGCTCCCCTGGCTCTAGAATGTTGGACTCAACTCTGACCAGGGCCAAGTCAAACAGCGCCCCAGCAAATTCATGTATTTACGAGGCGTGCAGCACACGGCTTGCTCTCTCTTGCACCAGCCCTGGCCAGCGTGGCCCTGGGTGTGGGCAGTGCAGCCCTGGCCCCAGCTTAAGCTCAAGTCCCGCTGCAGCTCCAGCCCGAAAGAGAGAGCCAGGAACTCTTCAGAACCATCAGAAGGGACCTGCAGTGGAGAAATGAGAGGGACATCAGGAGAAAAACCATGCAGACACCAAGGTTGGTGAAGGAAGAAAGGAGACGGGGGAGGAGGAGGTACACAGAGCTGAGGTTCCCCCTGCAACCTGTGGTGAGAGCACAGGTCAACCCACCTGCAGCTCGTGGAGGCCGTGACTGTGGGCAGTGTGTGCTGGAGCAGTTCGTGTGTGAGGGAACTGTGACCAAGGGCAGACCCACATTTGGACTTTAGTGGAGGACTTTTCTCCTGTGGGAAGGGTGCCACATGGAAGCAGAGGGAGACTGGGAGGAGTCCTCCCTACCCCTGAAGAGGAAGGAACGGCAGAGACCACATGGGATGAACCGACTGCAACCCCCATTCCCATCCTCCTGTGCTGCTGGGCAAAGCAGGGGGAGGTAAAGAAACCAGGAACAAAGCTGAGCCCGGGGAGAAGGGAGGGGTAGGGGGAAGGTGTTTGACTTTAAGATCTGGTTGTATTTTCTCACTGTTCTACTCTGATGTTATTGATAACAAATTAAATCTGTGGTGGTTTTTTTTCTCCCTATGATGAGTCTGTCTTTTGCCCCTAACCGTTAAGTGGTGAGGAAAGCCCTCTCAGTCCTTATTTTGTCTAGCCCCCTTCTTGTGAGCATCGTGGTGCTCAGTTGCTCACTGGGCTTAAACCACAACATGTGCTTGGTGAAGCACTCATTTGCAGCTAAGCACAGAAAGGTCCAGATTCAAGAAGACTTTTGAACACTACAGAAATCAGGAGAGGTCTCCACAGACCTGGACCTTCCAAAGCTGAGCTGACCTTTCAGTTGTCTCAGACCTCCCTGTGAAATAATGATTAGGATTTGAAATGTTGCTTTTGTTTCAATGTAAAATGTGACATATTTTGAACTACGAAGCTGCCACACCATTTGCAAAAGTAAATATCTTTGCTTTTCACAGATGCAGGCCTGTTGCACATACAAGTTGCTAAAAAGAGCCTAAAAAGAGCACTGGAAAATACATCACTTAAACATTCATTTTAGACCTTAGAGAGCACTGACATATTTCAGGTTTATTAATAAAAGTGGATATTTCTCAATGATTACTGTGCCCATCATTCTGAAATGTTATGTTGTAAGAACTCCCTCAAGGATATGATTTTTGTAACTGTGACTAGTACATCCTAGTACACTGATACATCCTAGTGCATTCTGAAGGACTACAGATAGGCCAGCAGAACACTGGCTGAGGCCAAGACGAGGGAGCTGAGGAAAAGGGTCCAGGAAAGCCCATAGATGGGAGAAAGACTCAGAGTCCATGAAAAGAGCAGTAAGAGTGCCCTTCAGAACCACAAGGGACCACCAGAGACCACCAAAGGACCCTTGGATACAAGCACAGTTTGATCCAAGAATGATTCAGCAGATATTTAAATGTATTAGAATTATATTTCAATTGCTACCAATCATTGGAACTCAGACCATGCAATCCTGAAACTTTTGTGTATAAATATGCCAAGAAAAGTGCCAGTAGTCATGCAAGCTTGGATGGCTCTTTGCACCCGACGTTGGATAAAGAATACCTGCTTCTTAACGCTACATTGGTGCTAAGAGGTTTTTCTATTCCTGATTTTGCTGATAGTTACATTTTTTTCAATTTCTTGTTGCAAACACAATCTAAATATATTTATTGATATTATGCCAAGAAACAAAATCACAGGGGGTAGATGCCAAGTCTGCTGGCTTCGTTAATCCCTTTTTGGTGTCATCTTTTCTTTTAATTGCAGTTTTAGAAATAACTAAGGAGAGAGTTGAGCTAGAAAAGCTGAAGGCCTTCATATGCACACTATTTAATAGATTTTTTGTGAAAATTTGTATCCTCATGAATTTCAATACATGGGAAGAAACTTCAGTTTGCTAAAACACAAGTGTTAGCAGAGTGAAGAAAAGAAAATCCCTGATCTACACTGAGCCGTCTCAAAAATTCTTAGTTTCTGACAGTGCTAAAAGTGTGTATTAGTTGGTGCTTATTCCCCCATCAGATGGAGAGCCTGTTCCATTAGCTCTACATGAGCTTTCACCTGTGAGGAGCTCCAGCTTCTCTGATCTATACAACAGCTACAGAAGTCTGTATCACTTAATCTGGTCCATCTGCCAAACTGTGACTTCAGAATCCCCATCTGAACACCCCTTTTTGGTGAAGGTGCTCATGTTTTCCTGCGTGGAGAGCCAACGTTGTTACCACCAATGTGGCAGCAGTCTGAGTGAGACATAACGAATACTCTGTGGGAGGTCTTCAATGAGTTAAACATTTTGTTTTCTTTATTATATTACAGGTTGCTTCCACATTGTACACACCTGTCGTAGACGTGGACTAGTCACAGAAGGTAGTCATGTGCCCTTGGACAGCCAAAGCAGTGACAAACCAAAGAACACAGAGGTAAAAAGATTGTTATTTTTTAGTGTAAAATAGACTTTCCCTGTAAAAAAGATCATAATTTTTGTGTAAAAGAGACTTTTCCCGTATGCAATTAGACAGATGCTTATGGAGTTTCGTAACAGGTGCCCATCCATCCTGGTCCTGCAGCCCTACCATCGGTCAGCTGCTGCTTTTAGCTGCTGCTCTGGCCATGCTGGCAGAGCTGCCGTTGTTGGAAAGCTGCACAGGGACTCCTCTGTCCTCTGCTGCCTGCTGCTGAAAGGCTCTGGGCTCACAGAAACATGAATAGGAGAAGTACAAACTTTTCTCTTTAGTATGCATGCCACTTGAGTTCTCCATGGCAGTCCAGTGTCATGACCAGCTGCTGAGTTTGTACAGGCAGTGCAGGCAATATGCTGCACTGAGAGTGCCACTTGTGATGTTTGGGCATAGCATTTGTTACTGCTGCTGCCTTTTTTTCTCTTAATTTTGGCTGCTGGTACAGAGACATTTTTGTCTGTATTTCCTGTGCTATAGCCAGTAAACTGCTTTCCACAGCAGCTGCACCTTAACAGCCACCTGGGCATGTATCAGGATGCTCCTTTCCTGATACCTTTGCTTCATTTATATGTTTGGGTATGCGGGTTTTTTGTCTTATTGTGCTCAGCATACCATTAACCCATTACCGTGGGTTTTGTGTTTAGCTCTGTCAAAGTCCCCCAGCACACCCTGGTTTTGGATCTGTACTCTGTTTGTGAAGCAGAAATACTCTGCTGACAGTTTGTATGCGAGGCTTTTATAGAAAATCATTGAAATTTCACTGCAATTGTACACTTAGCAGCATATAACTTTATTTTTAGACTTCACTCATGTTTTCTCCATCTATTATCCCCAGGTCCTGACACCTCCATCACCCTGTCTTCATTAGAAACTACTTTTAAATGTTCAGTTGTTAGAAAGCAGAACTTTCTAGAAATGACAAATTTCAGAACTCTTTTATCCCCAGCTTTTACAGTCTTAGACTGAAGCAATTACTAATCGCTGTTTGCAAGTGTTGCTCTTCACTTGCCTGCTGAGTTTGTTACACGTTAGCTTTGCTGTTATTTCTCTAGTTTTGAGCATTGAGCAGGTCCAAATAGAAGTATATAGAGCAATGTATAAGGCAGTTTTGTCAGGTCACCAGAGAAAGTGGTTTTGATTGTTTATTTATTAAGCAAACATATTTATTTGCAAGTTAGATGAGAGAACATTTCTCAGCCTTTCAATTTGCTTCGTCTTGATAACAGGAACAGTCACCTTTTTGAGAGGAATTACTACTTACTACTTGTCTGTCTGTTTTGTAGTGTCAAAAAACCCAGCAGCATAGCATACAATGAAAGAGGGTTTAAGAGTTTAAAACCAGTTTCTAACAGGCTCAGAATGATTTGTCCCACTGATTTTAAATTCACGTCGCAGTGAATTGAAACTGTGTCACATTCACCGCCTGCTTGCCTTGAAGTCAAGAGCAACAGATTCCATTTTTATCCTGGAATTTTATATTAATATATCAATAATGGCACATATCTGAATGAGGTGTGCAGAATTAATATCTATCAGCAGCGACTAAAAAGAAAGTAATATGATAGTGCCGAGGAAGAGGAGTATCTCAGAATGGAAAAAGAGAAGAGAACTGGCAGTACCTAGAGGAAAGCAGTTCCTGTGCCAGTAATTCCTTCCTGCAGGTAAAAGAATAAATGTAGTTTTTCTTGTGGGCAGATGTTAAGCAGTATAGAATGAAGAAGTCTGTGTTGCTCTAAGGAGTATTACAGGAATGCATTGAAACGGTATACTCTAAATTGTGTAAGACACAAGTAGGATTTTATTCTGCGTTTCAATTTTTTCCTCACAAGGAAACTTTTATATAATTTAGTCAAGGGGAAAAATGATATTAAATGCTGATAAAAATCAAAGGATGGCAATATGCAAAGAAGCTAAATATTTTACTTTTACTTTAGTTTACTGAGTCATGCAGTCCTCCCAGGACTACTGAAATCACTACACACTGTTTAAAGAAGGGGTATAAAATACTGAACAAGCGTTAACTGAACCCCTAAGATGAAGCAGACCAAAGCAATGCATATGATGCACTGGTTTTGTTTCACAGAAAGGTTTCCAGGATGTCCATGAGTGGCTGAAGTTTGTAGCATTTAAATAGTAAGATCTCACTAGGATACTGCACTGAGGTTTTTAACTGCTGTGCTGATGACCCCTGCTGAAGGAAAGTGGAATATGCTGTTTAGGTTTAGGCCTAAGAACCAGCCAGAGCAAACTGGATTATTTCCTCTTAAGGATTCCAGAATGGTGATCCCCTGCATCTCAGTCAGCTGAAAGGATTTCATGGAAAGTTCTTGTGGTCCCATATGAACTGGATGGCTTGGAAGATGCAGTGTGTTTTATCCACAGCTGAGGAACCACGGAAAGCTGCCGATAGCAACCCTATGGTTAATGTGCAGCTCTTTGGTCTGCAGCGGCATCAATTCCAAACATAGCATCAGTGAACATCTCAAACCACTGAAATAAAGACAGTATTTGAAAAGCCTGTGTCTGACTGTGGCTACTGGACATCTCATTCTCCACATAAATGAAGGGTCAGGTAGGAACCAGATTGGAAATGCGGGTGTTACAGGAAAGCATGAGATGCTTGAGCTGGTAAACTAACAGCACAGTGAGAAACACCAGCAACAGAGAGCAGAACGGCCAGAATAAAATACAAATGCATATGGATATAAATGCAGCTACTTAAAGGTACGTAACTAACTCTTTCACACTGCTTAGCACCTGTTACCTCTTCCGTATTTGTTTCCAGTTTTTTCACTTCATGCCCTTTAAGCCCAAGCTGTTCAGTGAGCTGTGTGATCCTCTCCACAAGATCCACGGGGGCTGTGTTGTAGCCATCAGTATTGGTGGTCTCCAAGTAAGACGTTAGCGTTTTCCACATTTTTTCATCACATCTACATGTACATTAAAAAAAAGAAAAGTTAGTGAAACCTCACAATGAGGGTCTGTGTTGGTAAAAGCCAGTTTTTCTGCAGAACTCTTGGCAGTACAGATCACAGATTGGTGTCCTAGCTGACACTGATTAGGGTTAGGTGGGAATATCCAGTACATTGTATCTCATGAGCCACACAGGACAGGCACAGGGGCCCACTGGTTTTGCTGTGTAATATTACTTCTTTTCACTGAAGCCACAGTGCCTTCAGGTCATGAAATAATCTCTGCAAAGGCCTCAAACATTAATCCCAGAAACCTACCCGCTGCCACAGCAAGGGAGCTTGGCCAGTATTTTGGTTATTTGGTCCACCTGGGATGGCTGATGGTCTCCTGCCCACTTCTCCTCCTCTTCATCAGAGGCAGCCTGGCCCTCTACAGCACGGAACAGCTGATCCTCTGCTGGAGAAACCAACAACCACTTAGCAACAACACAACAACCCCGATGTGCTGCAGCTGTGGTGATTGAAACACCTGAGACAGAGAGCAGAGAGATCTTAAAAACTCCAGCAAGACAAAGTGCAGGGTCTTTTGGCATCCATGGAAAGCGGTGTTAAAGCTAAGGCAGCCTCAGCACAGATCATTATTTTAAGAGTCTTGAAGGCTTCAGCACTCTTGTGCAGGTAACTTGTAGCTATTTCATTTCAATTCTCTTTTTTCCTATAAGTAACTATAATGTAAGGGTAACTGTGACGGATTGGTGTGTTATGGGGGACAATTACTGTTCACATATACAATTGAACATACACTTCTCTAGAGAAATGAGAAACCATTGTGCTGTTTGGGTCTTTTTGCATAGTAGTTGTACCAGCTGAATGCATATTCAGAGTGTGGGGATTTGATATAAATGTTCTCTAATTCATTCCCTTATGGTGTCTTGTAGAAACAGTGATTTTAATATATGCATGTAATATTTGACCCATAGCTATGTCTTTTTTTTAGCTAAGACTCATATCTCCTCAGATGCCAAATAAACTATAAATGAACTGTCTACAATATGTGTGAATATACTGTTACAGTAACATTTCAATACTTTTTTAGCTGTATCTTATAAAAGATATTGCTTTTAACTCTTTTTTTATCACAAAAAGATATTTAGGACTTAAATAATTATTATGATGCTTGTAACTTACTGGGAGTCCTTTGAAATATTGAGTATGTGAAAAGCACTACTCTCATCTTTATTCTGAACGCTTATTTTGAATTGACATGAGGTTAAGCCAATGTCAGCACGATTTTAAATTTTAGAATTATTTACCTTAATCACTGTCAGTTAATTAAACAGGTTTAATGAATTCTAACAGAGTGATCAAGTCAAATGCTGTTATTTCTTCAAATATTGAAACACATTAGACCTTGGTGCATTACAAGTGTTGTGCATATTTAGTTTGTTCTGCAAAGGAAAGGGAGGCTCAAGGGGAGGATTCACCTTGTAAAGATTCTCAGGTAAATTATTTTCTCTCTCATTTCAAGGACGGGAGCACCTGCAGCTCAAGCTGAAATATCATTGTGGTTGTGGCTGTCAGGAGGAGTTTGCTGTAGCCCGCAGGCAGGGAGCAGCGGCTGCCCCTGGGCAGGGTCCCTTTTGGAGGGCAGCGGTGGGGCAGCTCCGCGGGGTCCCCAGCTGCCAGGTTGGCAGCCTGAAGCGGGCTTCAGCCCCTTGCAGGGCTGTTTTCAGTAACAAAGGAAAAATGGCCTGGTTTTGTTTTTTTTCTTTTGGTAACACTCAGCATGTGTTTGTTAATGCGATGTTCACTCCAGTAGGATTCAATGTGCCTCATTTATAGGTTATCGTGTTCAATAACTTATTGCCTAAGCAGCAACAAAGCTTAGTTGCATGCAGTATTGCTCTTTAATTAGAAAATGAATGTCTGCATTTACATGGTATTCCTTGCACGGTACAAACTAATTTATTAGAAATGCTTTCTTTCTGTGAGGCTGTGTATGGCCAAAACAACAACAACAAAAAAAACCACCTTACAACTTTCTGTCTTTCATCTGTGATATATTAGGAGTGAACTTTTTCTGTCATCCCTTATTTTCTTGCCATAGGAGTTCAAAGGGATAAAGATCAGAGGTTTACAACTGTTGTGGAAGCTGTGAGAACTGATTGCACAACACTCTGGGTTCCTTGAAGAGCTTCAAACTGGTATGTTTAATCCAGTAAATTAATCACAGTATCTGGCATAGTAGACACTCAGATTAGGTTTTTGAAAGTGGAGAAAAAAGGCATGTGAATCTCAAGTGATCTTCATGCTAAGATCTCTAAGACACTTGTAATTCTTTTTCTGTCTCCTTCCCTCCCTTGTTACTTACAGCTTATGTCAGGTAAGTGCTTTGTCTTCTTGGAACTAGATGTGACCCCCCCAAAATAAAAATCACTGAAGGTAAGCCTAAGCCACGTTTACCAAATTTTGCATTTGCTTTCTACTTGCCATGGAAACCACTAGCAGGGGGGTAGGGGGAGAAGATGTTTGGCTTCTAGGGTGGCTGTCATAAATGTGGCTCATCATTACAGCAGCTAAATGACATGATTCAACCCCCAAAACTGCCATCTCTTTGAGAACCCTTGTGACTGTCTGCTCTACAAAAGCCTCGTTGAGGTCATGGATAGTGAGAGCCAGCGTTGGCAAACCCAGAGATTTTAGAAGACTTTCAGAGGATGCTTCATGCAGTCCCACGCACAATTGTGAGTGTGTGATGTTATGACAGTGGTTAGTGCTGCATGTGCTGAACAGGTTGGACCTTTTCAGAGTTAATGAAGTGGCCAGGATGTTTCCAAAGAGTGTGGCTGTACAGAATATTAACTGCAAATGGTTTCCTTGGAAATTATTTTAGTTTTGTTTACAAAGAAATGAAAACCTCATACTCTTAAGCCAGGAGAAAGGTTCTAGTGAGTTGAAACATGGAGATATGATTTAAAATTGCTTTTTTAAGTGATACATTCAGTCTTTTGTTAAAATTATGTGGGGAGTAAGAAGTAGAAAGCTGGGATATTACCTTTTATTTAGGTCTGGGATTTCAAGATTGATTAGGATTGGTTTGTGGGTTTGGTGGTTTAATATCTATATTAGTTTTTCTGCTGAGGATCTTACAAATCAGTGAGAAAATAAAGTAGTTGGGTAATGGTTTTGATACCATTCTCGGAAATCCCAGCTCCGCCAGTGGGAGATCGTCGATCCTGTTGCACAGCAGGCAGGCAGTATCTTCCATCTGGCAAGGCTGCTTCCTCTTTCTGCTCTGGGCTGCTTCTTGAGGGAAGCTGAAATCTTGCCATTTCTGACCTGGAAAAAAAGGGCAGAGTAAAGTGGACTTGTGGGGAATTTGAAAAACCAAGATAAATGTGCACAGTGTAGCACGTGAATGAATTTGAATGCAATCTTTCAGACTTGCTACACAAGAGCAAAGATCAAACCACTGAGGGCTGCATTTGGTCGCTTCATCAAGAGTCAAAGAAAAGTCGATTTCAGCTGTTCTTTAGGTACTAAGAACTAAACATTACTCATCACTTTTAGTTCAGGTCAAAGAGATCTAGAAACTATAGATGGGAACAGTCTGCTCTGGCCGTGAGCTCTGCCTTCTCTGCCGACAGTGACATGGCAGCATGTGCTGCATTTTGACCATGGGGAGCAAGTCTTGTGTCTGGTCACTTGGACTGGTACTCAGACTCAGAAATGTCAGGTAGTTTTGATCTAACTCTTCTAAGGCAGTGGCAGAGACTGAAAAGTCAGAAAGAGTGATAGATAAACAGAGTGACACATCTCAAAACCAGGGAGCTGTAGGTAAGACCCATCTCAGCAATGGGCTTCTGAAGTGCTGACAATCTCATTTGAAATTGTGTATATTTGAGTGGAATGGAGGGGATGTTTTATCTGTCTTTTACAGGAAACAGCTTTCAAGGGTTGGTACGCAGATCAAATAATGTAACTGATGGACGCGAGTCCTTAAACTTGCCAACAAAATGTATTTTGAAAAAAGTAATTTAGTTCAATGAAGGACAGATTGTTCAGACGAAGGAATTTAGAGTTACCTAAACAGACAGCATGGGAGGAGTACCTTTAAGAAAATTCAAGGTAGCATGTGTTAGAGCAAAAATCCAGGGAAAATATATTTACATGTAGTTGAGTTGAAAATGTTCTAACCCAATCAAGAAAAGACCCAAGCATGTAAGATAGTACAAGTAATTTGATGTAGTAATTTACTGTACATGAAACAAAATCTAAGAAATCTAATAGCCTAGATTTGTTTTCTAACAATCTAATAAAAGACTGCATTTTGAGAAGAATGGGAATGGAATGTGAAATGACAGTCATCGTGAGTCCGCTGGAGCCACTACACCCTTTTCATTGGAATACTTTTGGTTTGGTTCAGTTTGGCTCTCCTACCTGCCATTTCATAGGGATGTACTGAAAAACAGCATTGCTCTTTTAGAGGAAGAGTGCAATACAATTCACAGAATCAATTCAGACACTCCTATTTAAATGCAAAACGGTAAATGGGGTCTATGAAATGGGAAGGTAACACACAAGACTTAATTTATTTTAGGAGTCTTGTTTTTCTCACACAATACACTTAATATGTAACTTAATGGCACAAAATGTTACTGAAATCAGAGCTATGAGGAATTTAAGAAATTAGACTCCTATAATGTAGTAAGAAACTCATAGTTATCTTTGATAAATGGAAATTTGGCCTATCAGTCCACATGTCAGATTTCTATCAAATGCTCTCCTGAGATACCTCTCAGGTTTGGAGCAAACTGAACATCAAGTTCAGTACAAGACTGTCTATGTTGTGTAATGTAATATTGTACGTTTCCTGCAGAGTACATTTCCAGTGCTTCCTTTTTTTACTACTTAGAAAATAGTTTACTGAATAATGATGTGGTTGTACTTTTCCCAGTAGGAGCTGTCATGTAGTTCACAAAGAATTTATATGCAGAAGAAAGCAAACTAAATTCAGGAGTTTTATGGTGAATTAAGTTTCCTCCAGATTCTTCCGAAGATTAGTTTTGGTCTGGTGAATATTGAATATTCCTTGTACTTAACACATTAAATATTCATCAACAAAAAGTGAGAGTTAAAACACTTAGCAAATTGGCTCTACTGAAACACGACGTATAACATGATCTTTTTGTCTTCTAAATACTTCTGTAAATTCAACTACTGCTAGAAACAGGAGTTTAGATGCAGTAATAGAGAAGCTGGTGCCAAGTTTGAGACAAGTATTGCAGAGAGCTTGTTTAATCTAACACAGCTGCTGTCAGCTGCTGAAGAACCACACCAATATTAACTCCCTTGTTGCTTGTGAAAGTATACCAAGTAAATAAAATCTTGTCTTTAACAGCAACCACAAAAGTCAGTATTACAAAATATCTGTAGGGACAGAAGCTGAGGTAAACCATGCTTAGGAACCAGCACTTATTTTACTCCCTTGAGTAGAGCTGACTGTATAAAAACTAATTACATATTTCATTTACAACTTATGCTGTTATTTAGCTTAGCAACAATTTGATTTCCTGTAAAGTCAAAGGAAATAGCAGTCTCCAGAATGGAGCCTGGCTGGTCATTTAGCTTCATTAGTTCTGGAACAAATAATTATGAAGTAGCGCATGAATAAAAAGCACTGAGAAGCTTGGGCATTCACAAAGGGGGCTCCTGGAATCATTAGAGAGCTGCAGTGTGGGCAGTCCCTGTAGAAGATAGCAGTATTTCCTTTCACAAGAAAGTTACATTTATTCTTTCTGAAGTGTGCTAATTTCCTACATTTTAAGACAGATGTATTCTGGGGTCTGGTACTCAATAAGAATACTTTAACATTTCTTGTGGACTGTAGTTGGTTATCGTGCAGGTTGCTCTTTATGTTTTGAGCTGCAGTATAATTTAGATCAGTGTGGAATTCTGAGGTTTCTAGGCTTAGTTCATGTAACACAGAGATGTTGACGTTTCAGTGAATATTCATTGTAGTCTCCAGGTTGGTTAAGATTTTAGACCGTAAAACATTGAGACTATTCAAATATCATGAAAATCTTTTCTAGTGAAAGTGGGTAAATGCTGTGATGTTTATGAGAGATCTGTTGGTGGTATTAACTTCTTACATCTGGCAGCCTGGCTTCAATTTAGCTTGCAGTTCAAGGAACATTAAGACATTTGGAGGAAAAATCCTTTCCATGTAATTCAGGGCTTAGAATAGCAGACTCCGTCTACTTAGATGAGACTCAAGACAGACCTAAATGATAGCTTTCATTTCTCTGTAGTTCTTGCAAGGGAACTTAAAATTAGTTGATGAAATACAAAGTACAAACTCTGATTATTCTATAGTAACTTTCTTGAGAGGATTTCATCAGCTCTCTCTCAATGTGGAGAAATTAGGGGCACCATACAAACAGCAGGTTTTGTTAGCTCTTTCTGCCCAATATGTTGATTAAAGACAGCCATGCCTGTCTTTTCTGCAGAAGAACAACTGAAGAAGGCTCCCATCGGAGATGTTGCACAGAACTAGAACTACAGCATTAAGGTTACTGACGAATTGTTGCTGTCTGTTGGAAGAAAGGAGCTGTTTCCTCCTTTTCACTTTGCCATTGGTACAGGATTCACTTTGGAGAATGTTTCAAGTTTCTGACTGGATTTTCTCTATTTTCTGCTCTTTAAAGCAGATGCAACCAAACAGTCCAGAAGGTTTCATTTCTTAGGGTTGCTTCATGCTCCCTGGTTCACATTGTTGAAGTACACAGCATTTCAACCTCCTCAAGTGTGGTGGAGGCATGAATGGAGTCATCATGGTGGTGCTCTTTGGTAGCAGAACAATGAAACACCATAATCTCCTGATTTCTCATCATGTGAATTAACTGCTAAATCATTTTTCCCTATCTGAGAGCTTTTTGCTTTCTTTAATGCAAAATCTGCGCTCTTAATTTTCAAGTGACAGAGGTTTCGGGATTTAAAGAAGAGCATAACGGAAGAGGCCAACAGCCATGCTTTGGCTGTCATGGTAAATGCTAAAAGGAGGAATCGTCACTTTTTCTTAAACATAGGTTTAATTCTTTTCTCATTGGTATTCATACAGCATCAAATGGGTGTTCATAAATGAGAAGAAGGGTGAATAAACAGCACATTTGTTTGGGGCAAAGATCAGAGGGGAAAGTGGTGCTGAAGATGCCTGGGAAGTGTTTGTGTACAGTGCAGCGTGGCCAGGCTCCCATGGAGACAGGCAAAGAGTGCACATTCATTTCAGAGGCTTTGTACTGAGGAGAATGGGCAGCTCCAGAGAAGGAAAGTTGAAGAGGGGAGAGTTTGCAAAGTACTGGACCTTAAAGTAATGTCCATGACTAATTGGCTTTTAATTGGCTCTCCTGTTATTGGTATGGAAACTTCTAACTGCAGCAAAACCCACCTGCTTCTAGTGCAAAACAAATCCTTCACTTCAATAATTCCTGACTAATCATAATATAACTCTGAGGAATTATTTAGCTTTACGTTCATAGACAGTTAACGAGTCTCTTTTAGAGACTTATTTGAAGCAGATCAAACAGCTGTGTGAAAATGTGCATTTCCCTAAACAGTTACACAAGCTAAGCTATAATTTATTTCAAAAGTATGTGACTTGTGTTTTTTAACCAAAATGAAGTGTGATTTTTATTTCTGTACTATTTTACCCAAACTGTCGGGGTTCAGGGGAGCTCAGGATGGTTTCAGTTCTGGCTTACCCCCTATGGGGAATTACAGAGTTGAGAAGGTGTGCATATTTTTAATTTATTTATGACTTTTCATTTAACATTGAGATCACATATATTTTCATACTGGAGCTAAATGTCCGTGTAGGCTTTCTGAATACATCTGTAAGCTGTGATCCCCTGTCCTACAGGAATTGTACGAATGAACTTTCTATGATCAGTTCAGATTAAATTGCATAATCTCGGGTTTTAAATAGCTTGATCTGTAAAGCATTAAATATAAAATTTTTAAAGTATGAATTTTTAGTAGCTGTAATAAAGATTAATTAATATCCTGGTTTTATACTGAAATAAGGAGAGCTTTGTAGTTAAAGAGCATCTATAAACTGGTTCTGGGAGGTTCTTGGCTGATTATTTTCCTTTCTTGCCAACATCACCATTCTCTAGAAACAAAATTATTTTGCTGCTGGCAATGTGTTTTCTTGCAGAAACTTTCACAGAATCACAGAACGAAACTTTCCATCTTTCTGCATGTTGTGTAGAAACGGGCAAATCTTGCGATGGTGCTGTCACACGTAGCAGAGAGTAACAGAGTTACGCCTCGCTGTCCTG